AAAAMCMAAAAAAAAAAAAAAGGAAGTCAGTTGATCTGCATGGGAAGAGAACTTGTGTTGTGTTGAGCAATCAGCATCTGGAACAGGCACACTGTGGCTTTCTTATGGCACACAGGGACTCTGCAGTCAGTGCTGTGCGAACCAGACACTCATGACAATTTTCAGATCCTCCTTTATAATCATCTTTATAGACAGCATACTGTGTTATATAAAATATTTCCTAACAAAAATGTGGATTTTCTAGATAAGTCACAATAAAAATTCATAAAGTGTAAAACAAGCACCAATATTTATGGTACAGATAAAGGGAAACCAGCTATGATTATCATTATTATCAATCATTTCAAATAAATGTGGCTAGAATCATCTAATTATGGTGGAATAGTAATAAAGGGTAATAAGAACAAGGATAATAAGAAAACGGATTTGTGATCATAGTAGGAGGTTAATAACTTTGGTTGAGTCAATTACTATAAGAAGTGAAAATTAAATTAGCTCAGAGGTATTTATTATTAGTGAGATTCTCTAAAATGCCAAATCATCCTGGAATTCCAAACATAGTGCAATGGGCATTCTGTGTTAAAAATTCATTAATCTTCTGATTCCTTTTAAAAAGTTAAAACAGGCATCTTACTACCTGTCAAGAGGTCTGCTGGAAAGACTGTGACCACAACATGCATATTTTAGATTCTAAAAAGACTACAAAGAGATGAAAAGTGCAACCTCCAATTCTAGAGCATCAAATGTCACAAAACGAAACTTTCTGAGGTGACAGCAAGCACTTAATTTAAAATCAGCTGTCTAAAAACAGAATGAGGAAAGAAAATGGGATGTTTTAAAACAAATGAGTCACATAATGAGTTATTAAAGAAAGGAATGGATATTCAGGGTAAATGAATCTATAATAAATGAATACAATGAAACAGCATACAATAAAGTGGTTTGAAATTCTTTTGATGCTTTATGAAAAAAACCATAAAAGACTAAGACAAATTGTAGTATGGAAGAAACTGTACATCTTCATGCAGCTCTTATTACTGTCAATCAAGATGGCAGTTCAAGTGGTGATGAACTTAGACCGGAGAGAGCCTGGCAACTGTGCCCTAAGAATCAGTCTAATCCCAGGATGTTCCAAAGCCACAACTCTTAAGAACAACAGATGGGCCAGGAAGGGTGGCACACGCTTATAATCCCAGCTACTTAGCAGGCTGAAATAGGCAGATCACAAGTTCAAGACCAGATGGGGAACTAGCCAGGCTCTACTTCAAAATGAAAATAAATAAATAAATAAATAAATAAAGGGCTGGGGATGTAACTCAGTGGTAGAGCACCCCTGGATTCAATCCCTACTACTGGGGGAAAAAAAAATGAATGCCAGATTGCTTGTATGGTTTGAAGGCTTCTCAATGGGGTCCTGGGTAAATGAGAAAATATTTAGGGAGAGGAAAACCAGTGACTTTGATTGGCAGAAGCACATCAGCTGAGGGGAATGAACAATCAAGTTCTAGATGAAAATAATGAACAGAGAGGAGGAACAACAGAGCTGAAAGTGAGGAGTGAGGTGAGCAGGCTGAAAGGATGGTTGGTATACTGGCCCCAAACACAGGTCAGTCACTCGGGAAACAAGGACCAAAAGTAGTGATTTATGTAAAGGGTCTGCAGAGGGCTGCAGTTATTTYGAAGCCTTTTTTCTCTGATGTTACACATGTTCATTTGAATCTATTCTATATTTTTCTTAGTTTTTTCTAAGAAAGAAATTAAAACTATACTCCATATGCACTAGTTATAAAATTATTTTCATAAAGTTGAGGGTTCATATTCAAGTGATGGAAGAATAAAACTCAACTTCATGGTCTAAATTTCTTTTAAAATACCTTCTAAATAAAATATAACCAAGTCCCACGGGTATGGGACAGAGATGGAAATTCCAGCCACAGGAGGAGGACCCAAATCCTCCAGCTCACTCCCTTCCTCCCCTTCTCTGGCCACAGACCTGATGAGTCTTCTGTCAGTTCCAACCCACCTGACTTGCTGGTTGGTCTTATTTTCTTCCCTCACATAACAGTCTCTTTATAAAACAAACACAACAGCTCTCCTTATTTTTAGTAGGTCCAACATCTTCATTTTCTGTCATTTTTTTTCACCATGAATTAAACTATGAATGTGATATAAAACCAACACTGATGAAAACAATTTAGCTAAAACATCAAGTTACTTTGAAAACTCAGACCAACTGGCTCCCTTTGTCTCAATTTTCCAAGTAACTGGCCCTTTTTAGTCACTAATGAAGTAGCACTGAGCCAGATCTGACAGGGCTGAGAGAATGTCAGGAACAAGTGAGTGTTCCCCACAAGTTCAGCATCACGCTTTTCCTTGTTTTTTTTTTTTTTTTTTTTTTTGTTGTTGTTGTTGTTTTCCCAGAAGACAGGGGGAATTGCAGGGAGGGGGAAATCAAACTTACAAGTCCACTTATGGCTACAATCCAGATGTAGGAACCAGAGGTGAAAAGCTACAAAAGAAAAAAAAGGCAACTAAAAATGAAATTCAACTGCCAGTAACAGCATACTTATTTTTACATAATCATGACCATTTACAATACTAATTATACTTGCTATCAAATATATAGGCAAATAGAAAATAAACATAAATTTTGTTTAATAATAAGGTTATTTTTTTAAGACCTTAGAGTTCAATGCTGAGAATATATTACTTGAACCTGGCCCACTCCCATGCAAAGAAATACAAGTGAAATTCAAGTATACTACCATTTACAAATGGGTATTAATTATATTATTAGAATCAACAATGTAAACATAGGTAGTCATCATCCATGCTTGTTGCTAGTGACTTATGACAACTGTTAACCTAACTTTCTCATTGTAACTTTTTATTATTGTTTCTCTAAATTTAGACGGGAAGAATTCTGACAGCTTAGAGGTCTGTACCAAATGGTATTGTTCCTATTCTAGTTCATCTAAGGAAGAATAAACTTATAATAACAATGTTAATTAATGACAAAAGTATTTATTATTAAGTCTCAAGAAATCTCTACCTTTGCTTTCTAAATTATATTTTAGAGTTGTGCTCAGGGTAAAATAACAAAAACAAAAAAACACCAAACAAATCAAAGCATCTCAAAGCGTCCCTGGAAGAAAGAAATGGTTTGTGGTCTAGTGTGTACTTTAGAAGCTTGGACTAGGGGTTAAGACTTCTGATCTTTGAGGAAGAAGCAGGGCACTGGAGCAGGGCAGCTGTATTCACTGCCAACTGTTAGATGCGAACTTTGGAGTTCCACACACTCCATGAGGACACTCAGAGCAGACGACACAAAGGGTAAGAGGCTGAGGGACAGGGAGAGGAGGCTGGTGGGCTGCAGGCTGATGGGCTGTGTTCTGGTGCAGGCCACCCAGGAAGGAATATCAGCTGCCACTTCTAATTTAATCTCTGATCTGGCATGGAGGCTTCCTCCACGTAAATAACTTTGATAATAACAAGGTCAAGAATTATGCAGACAAATATTTTGCTGTCATTCGCCTCTAAAAAGAAAAAGGATAATAAGTCAACTATCACTTTCTACAAGCTGGGCATTTCTCGAAAGGTTTCCCACAAACTGAACTCAGCGAATCTTCCGTATCACTTGATGAGGAAGCTCTATGAACTTGATTCTACTGGTGAGAAAATTGAGTGTCTGTGTGACTTGTACCCCTGTCAGACAGCTATCAATGGTGGAGTTGGGTGTATGCAGATAGGCAAGCTCCACAGCCCTGTGCTCGCCAACCTGCCCAGATATAAGTAGAAGGAGTCCAACATCCTGCCAGTCAAAGCTGGTTTCCTTTGGATCCTCTCAAGCTCCCCTCCCTACTGTGTGTTTGGTGCCAAACTGTGTTGCTTGGGTTTTGACAGGTTTGGGATCCTAGCCTCTGGGTTCCTGGAGGACAAGTATCTCATCTTGTATTTCACCCCATCCTCCACAGCTCCCAGCCCAGGGTAGGCACCACAGGACTGGCTCTCAAGCCATCTGATACATAATGTCCCTTCATAAGCATTTTGGCTCTTCTGGTAAAGATTACAACCATTCATTCATCCATTAAAGAAATGTCCCTGGCTTCATGTAGCTGTGGTGGGGAGTGTGAATGTCACAAAAACATGCAGAGGYCCAGAGAGGAGTGGGGCAAGAAGAGGATGGAGACTTCAGCCACCCTTGATGCAAGATGGGCAACTGCTGCTAGAGATGCAAGAAGAACCCTGGATGCCATCCATGCCAAAGACTAGACCGTAAAAAGAAGCAGTGAGGCACCTCCACTCCTTCTGATATCCACTTCTACCTCACAAAGTTATTGAAAWTACTATGACAATATTAGAAATTTATACTACTTTGAATAAACTATGGTAGCTGCATCTATATTTTGCTTTTGAGCAGGGTTAAGAGGTTACTTTCTGTATTCATTTATTGGTTCTTTTTAGTTAAACATGACAGTAGAATCCATTTTAAATATAATTATACAAGCATGTATATCTTATTCCAGTAAGTAAGTATGTGATGGTGGGATTCACCGTGTCATTTTTAAGCAGTTACTTTCACTGCAGGCCATGTAACTGCTGAAATAGCACTAAACACAGAGGCTCTTGTGATGGAGATTATGCAGCCAGAGCCCCTCTCTCTGAGAAATATTTTACTTATTTTGCTTTTTGTAAAACAAAACAAAACAGTATAACAATACATTTGTAATGTCAGAAAAAGCAATGAATGGGGTTAGCTATAGAGATAAATTACTAATTAATAATAAGAACCACTGACTTAKCTATTTTTATCTTTTCAGATACACAGTAACACTAATGCTATGATATCTAATCCTTAAAATAATCTTGTAATATAGGCATTATTATCTTCATTTTGCAGGTGGGCAAATGGGGGCTCAGTAAAAATAAGTGACAAAGCAAATAGTCAACAGACCCCATCACTAAGCCAAAGTTCACTCATCCCCAATGACCTTCCATAATGCCACATGGAATTTCTACCCAAATTGAAATTAATTGAGGAAATAATGTTTTTCATCCTCAATGATTCTAGCTTTAGAGTTGGAAGGAACTTAGGTCAAAATGAGGATCAGGGGGTCATGACTTGACCCAAGTCTCAGAGCCAGTGAGGGACATACCAGAACCAGGGGCCAGGTCCTTGGTGTTTTTCTGCCATTTCATACTGCCTCTGTCACAACAATTTAAGGGAAAAAAAAATAAAAATAAAACCTGCTACAGCAAATCCTAGCTGTTAAGAATAAACTGCAAAAACGAGCTATTTGGTTACATACATATTAGGAAGGCTAAGGGGGAGTTTGTGGGGGCTGAGAGATGAAGAATAACATATTTCATGAGAAACGGTTGTAAAAGTTGTAAGGAAACACCCGCCCCTGACGGGCCATTGATAATGCATGATAACAGACTAGAGGAGCTGGAGGAAATGCTAAAGGTTAAAACGGGAGGGAGAAGGGCATTTTACAGTGACACTAGTATCCGGTTTGATATGTGTGGGATAAGGAATGCCTGAGTGTTTACTAGTGGATCAAAAGGCCAAGCTACACATGGTGCCACAGGAAGCTGCAGGAAAAAGCTTGACATCAAAAGTCATGGGAGTAAAAATAATGACAAATAACAGAACACTGAAAATCCTATGTGTCCCAGTGTAGTAACTGGAACCCAGCAGGGAGCAATTGGTATTCACTGAGTATTAGTAAGGACTCATTTAAGCTCAGGTTTCTAAGTCAGACAGTAAGTACTCCAATGATCTTCAAAGAAAACCATTTAGCAAATGATGACAATATCATCGTAGGAGCACAAACACCGAAGTAATAACATTGCTAATGCTTCTTGAAAACATCAAATCTCAGGTTGGTAAAGCATTTTGGGTTTCTTCTTCAGAGCTTTCTTTGTGAGCTGTATTCAATAAACTAATTTTGACACTGATTTTTCCACTTTCCACTGTTCTCATGTATTTCCACTTCAAACTATGATTTTTTAAAAGAGCATTTACATATAATTGTAACAATTAAATGAAAATATTTTCCACTGATACAAATTACAGTGAAAGCTCTTATCAGATTTCTAAAGGCTATGAAAGTATTCTAGTACCTTCTACACCTTGATGTTCTTGTTCTGTAACACTTCCTTTGAACATTTGATACAGATCATGAAGCCAAACTTATGGG